ATTCTGAATAATTAAAATGAATTTCGATGTGAGAGTAGCAATGAAGTGTTCATTTTTTTTTCATAGGGAAAATAATGTGCTCTTTATGAACTAATTTTGGCCTCTTTCGAACATTTTTGTATTCGCGTCCTTAAGCCGTATCCGTAAGGTTCCGCTGTCTTAACTGTAAGTTAGCAGAACATCTATGCAGGATAGACAAGTAATTATTTTCAATGCACCATATTTTTGTGCTTTTTATGGACTATTTTAATTTTGAGTACTTCACTGGGATTTAGGGAAAATGACTCTGAATAATGAGTCATAGATCGACAAGAAATGATATTTGTTTTTTTATTCAGAAAACAATTTCTACTTTCTTGAGAATTATGTGCTCATTATGTGCTCAGAATTCCATGCCTTTAGTTGTTTTTACTCTTAACGGACAGCAATGAATTCATAATCCACTGGCAAATAAAATTGTTGAATAAATACCCCATGAGTTCACATAATGTTTTTGAGGCTCTTTATGTGTTTCCATGATTTTTGACAGAGTGATCTAAATATAAGGGAGATGATGATTGATGGGTAAATTAGAAACTAAGGTGGGAGACAGAAACAATGAGTCCTTTCTTTATTTCATAAAAAAATGAAGACATCAATTGCTAATATGATCAATCGCTTCCTTTATCAAATGAGACAAATAAAATGGGTGTCCTTGAAGTTGACATGTAGATCATATGTCAACTACACAGAGCAAAAAAAAATACGTGAATTCAGAAAAAAAAGTCTAGAATCGAGAAATCTCGAGTTCCTTGATTGTTGAAATCCTAATTGGAGAAGAAGATGCATTGATTACAGCCGTTCAAGTGTCTTTATAAGCCGAAAATTTCCTATAATTAAAATAAGAGAAAAATGGCGAAATTTAATCGTAATTTTTCTGGATTCAAGAATTATGAAATTTACTATCATCTTTTTTATTTCAATTTCTGGAAATTTTTCGCTTCTATCAACGATAATTCAATGGCTTGAACTAATACATTTTCTTTCATTATTCAAGGAACTAGAGATTTTAGAGTTTTTTCTACTAAATTCACGAATTTTTTCATCTTTTAGTAAGAAGCTAAACCTAAACATACTCTGAACGAATAACAATATCTCATTTGGCGTACAACACTAAATGCAGTGAAACTGGATAATTGTCGTCACACTTTATCATCTTATGATCATACTCCGTCCATCTCCGATTGCGAAAACAAAAACCCTTGTAATGTCTAATGCGCTCATTATCACTCATCTGTTCCTTGATATCAGGCGCAACAAATGCTGCAATCCCTCTCAAGGTGTATTCCTCAGGTATCATTGACAGTTTCAGAGAACGAGGAATATCAATCAAGCCCAGTGTCTCATCTTCTGAATTCAATCGAATTTCAAAAATAAGATAACTCTCTGGAATGAAAAAGTTCCATAATTATTTCAAATCGGTAAACCAATTATTCAAAAACTCATATACTTCTTCAGAAATTTATTTACCCAGTATTAATAACTTATTAGTGATTTTGCCAATGCATCCATCATTACGCTGGGTATACTCTGAGCAACATCGATTTTGAGGCAAGATAATTTCACGTTCAATCGCCTTGTTATAATTCTTCTGTTTGAATGATTCAATGCTGATACTTGTAAGAACGAATTCTTTCTTGCGCTGATAATTACAAGTATCACATTTCGAGATTTCTTCGAAACAAGGTGCTTCTTTTAACAGATTTCTACACAGTCCTCCAACAGTCATTCGCGCATCAATTGTAATACATTCGGCAGTTTCACGTCGTATCTCTGATATGGGCCACAACATTTTAGCTCTCAAGACATAAGCTCCTTTATTGACTCCATTTTGTCTCACATCCAGCAACATTTTCAAAAAAAAATTTCCAAGCCGTAAACGTTCAACTCTTTCACGAAATTTATCACTATCATATAGCACACTCAAGAACAATTGGAAAAGACTGTCAAATGCACAAGTGTTGATTAAATTCAGCTTTTTGTTGTTTAAAGAAACTGCTTTTAAGTCAGGATCCGTCCCAGTTCTCAAAATCGGTACTTTAGCGAGCTTTTTAGTTTCTGCCAAAATAGCTTTTGAATATTTCTTTTGCAAAAAGTGACCTCGAATCTCCTTCTGATGAAATTTCATCGCTTGGCCTTTCCAATTCTCCATACAATGAGTCTCGATCAATTGTCCGGCATCGGATCGACGAGCACAGCTCTTACAGAGACGACCTTGTGGGACACCTCTATCATCTTCATTGCAAGGGACAGAGTAGATATCTGTACTATGGATTAGATTACGGCATACCTGAAATAAGTCAGATAAGAATGAATAAAAAATAGTGATTAGTCGGTATTTTTGGTCCAGATTAATTCAGTAGCGAAGTGGCAAAACAAGAGAATCCAACTCAACTCCACCATGAGTTTTGGATAAATATCTTGCAATCGAAAAAAGATGGGAAAATTTCTTTGAGGAACATTTTGTAGTGTAGAAGCCACAAAATAGGTATGAATGAAAATTGCGCTGTCTCTCTTGGATTTCAAGATTCTCAGCAGAAAATGAATTCTGATTGAAATTGATTGATTTACCACTTTACTAGCAAATGATTCCAGGAGCAGATCCAATTGCCACTCACGATGCATATGCCCCACTTTATTCCAGCCATTCCACATGTTGAACATTTCGCAAAGAAGTCAACTAGAGACGAATCAACAGTTTTTGGAGGTTCATTTACGTGGCAGTTCAAACAAATCCTCGATTGTCCGAAACCTTCAGGAGTGTTGGGATCTGGTATAAAACAAGTCTCAATTGCATGTACAACTAAGTTACATATCTATAAAAGAAAATGGATATTGTGAGGAATTTCTACATTAGAAAATTCAAACGAATGTTTCTATCCTACCTTGCACATGTGTGCTGCACCAACAATACGCCTACAAATAGGGCACTCGGTTGCCAACTCAGCCTGTTCCACCGGCTTGTTGATATTACTAGGATGATTCGATTGAAATGACATGTAATCATCTTGGTACTGACTCTGGGCAAAAACAAGTAGATTGTTGCATACAAAACAAATCCTTCCATTCTCCAAATTACAACCATCATGATATGGCAATGAACGTGTCTGTGGAATGTACTGGACAATAACAATACTAGAAAGTCGAAGAAAAAAATACGTTAGTTCAAACTGATCAAATCCAGAATATTTTTTTAGGCACCCAATACTTACACGGCATTTTGGTAATTGTTCAGCTTCATTGCCATATGATATGCACACTTGATTTGTTGGAACATTTGATATATTATTCCTGTCGTTCATATTCGAGTCTGTACCAGCAGAAAATTCGCGATGTGTAGTGCGCAGATCAAGAATTGTGGCATCGAATTTGTGGTTTTTATCAGTCGAGTTCGCTAACTTTTTTTCCTTCTGTGGTCTTTTAGTATTACTTGGAGTACTTGTGTATTGGGGCTGATAAAATGCTGAATTTAATCCACTTTCATTTGTGTTAGCAGCTAAATTATTATTGTCATCAGCTTCCATTGTTGCTCCACCGCTTGTTTCAGATCCAAAATTGCTTCTCAAATTATTAAAAATATCTTCATCGAAATGAGCACGATTGTGGAAAAAGTCAGCACATCCACCTGGATTACTGTCGTCAAAATGGCCTGTCCAATTATTTGTTAATGTTCCATTCAATTGATGAGTCTGTTGCTGTGGTCTTGGATTGGTCATTGATGAAACATTGCACTGGTTACAAATCCGTGTTTGACCAAATCCTTCTTCTCCATAAGGCGCTGAACAGAGAGTAATAGCATGAACAATGTCCTTACAAATCTGAAACGAACGCCGTATGATAAATCAGAAGTGGAGAGGTAGAGCAGAAGAAGGGAACTCATCTTGAGAGTGAGTTTTTGATCAATCTCTCAGGATCTGGATGAGATAGAGACATTTGTGGAGAGACCTTTATTGTACATATCATTCAACTCTACACGAAAGGTTTCCGCAAAATTTCTTCTATCTCTCTCAAATTCCAAGATTTTTCTAAAATACTGATCTTCAAATAGAATTGACTCCTGCTGTGATGCCCGGACATTAAAAAAAAACAATCTTAAAAAGAAAAAATTGACAGGTGCTGTTTTACCACCTCATTTCTGGAATATTTTCTTCATGAATTACTTAATGATAAACGGTGCCTCTAAACTTACCCAGCACTTGTGAGCACCATCAGCGACATTACCACAGGAACGACAGTTTTCTGTTGTCCCATCTTCATTACTCCTTGCAGGACTCAAGTGGGGTGATTTGTTTCCATAAGACTGTTCGTCTTTTCCGTTTGCATTGTCATCTAGATGATCATTAGGATCTCGAGAGAGATTTGCAGTGCTTGTGATTTTTGAAAGTCCACAAACGTGTCTACTATATAATTCAACAAACCTATCTGCTCGAATAGGGGGATGAAGTCCATAGGAAGGCAGAAAAAGGTGTCGAATGTTTTTGAATTGAATTTCTATTTGACTACTTGATGCTGGATTACGTCCATAACCAAAATGGTTTAGTGTGATACAACTCCGAAGTGGTAAGTACGTACAGTCCTCTACTAATTGTTCCGCAAATTTGGGGGAAAAAAAAGCATTAGCACTTCGTGGTTTCCCCGGGGCATTTTGAATTTTGGTCAGTGCTATTTGATTTCGTCGACATGCCCAGTCGTACCACTTACTGGGCTCAATTTTTTTCTTCTTTAAGTAGTCATCCTCTTCTCCCACATCAGGAACTCTTTTACGTTCAATGATATGCGAATCTTCATGTTCTTCGAAAACGTAATCTTCATCGGTTAGGAGAGCTTCCATGAACTCTTTCTCATTCTGCACTGCTGACTTGTCACCAGTGAGTTGTTCTCCATCAGTTTCACATTGAGATATCGTCAATAATGCCTGAACAATCTTTTCAGCTTCATTTCGATCAACGCATCTAATAAGCTTCCCCAGAGATGCTAGATAAAACTGTTTAATCGCATATCCCGCTTTCTGTAATAAATCCCTATATTTCTTCAGGAAATGTGCGACGTCTAAACGAATGTAGCTACTTGGACAGTCTTTCAGAGGAATATCAAAGAATGCATCTGCATATTGTATGATAGTTCTCTTATTTGTGAATGCCCTGATTGAAGCTGCAATCAGAGCTGTAGAACCATCGCAAACTACTTCTTTGGGAGTTGGTAAGCCACCTTGTCCAATGGACTCTGCGAGCCAGAAAGAAATCACACTCGTCGTGTGTCGCTCACTGAGCATTTGCGTCACTGCTACGTGTTTTGTAGGAGTTTTTGCAATAGCATTGTATAGATAAATGGGTCCAGTTCTTGATTTATCTGGCAGTTCCACCTGTCGAACGAAGCGTCCTGATGCGTCGGCTTGTAAACAGACATGTTCTTTCTCAACCAATTTCTTATAAACTGTCATTTGATGTGTTGTACTCCAGTTAATGAAGAAGGGTTTAACAGAATAATAATGAATTTCGTGAGGCATTTTTTGAAGAGATAATAGATGGAGTGCAACCAGAGGATCCGGGTGCATGTGATTTTTGGCCTCCTCTTGGTATTTTACTGTTCGTAAAACTCCTGAGGTGTAGAGTAGCGGAGGGTCTTCATCGGTGTCATTCACAATGAGTTTATTTACAATTTCTGATCGCAAAGCGTGAACGGTCTTCATCTTCAGTTCATTTACCAATCGTTCTCTATTTCGGCCTCTCAACTGTCTCTTTCCACATTTTCCCTTCCCTTTTGTTGTTTGACAGACCAATTTAACAATACCATTGTCATTTTTTTGAATATCACAAAAAAAGGTCCCACCGCACTTACATGTCCCATTAGCTCTTCCTTTTAAACCGTCTACAGTAATGTAATGCCCCTCAAAATTAAATGCACACGACAATCGCTGTTCTGTCCACATCCTGAAATGCAAAGCATCTCCCCATTCATCTGGAACAAAACACACTGTCAAATTCGAATAATTTACGAGTATTTTCAGCTCTTTTGGCAACTCAGTAGTAAAACGTCACAAGTTGATTTTTCGAATTTTATTGAATATTCAATTATCATCATAATGAGTAAATTTATTGGAACATGTGATGAGCCATTTTTTTTGTATATTTATCGAGCTATTAGAAAGATTTTTTGACGTTTTCTGCTAAGATCGTTCGTTTGTAAGATGAACAAACAATTAACAAAAATATAGAAATTGATGATGAGTCACAGTTGCCCTATTGATATCAAATCCATACATTTTTGATGCCTAGAAGAGTGAAAATGAAACAAGTATTGGTTTATAAAATTGAAACTAACCTTCTTGCATGCGAACAACTGCTCGTTTGGCTTTTTTGTTCTTGTTTGTCGTTTGTCTGTACTCTTTGATGACGAGGAGACTTTCAAAATCATCAGCTGTCATCTCAATTATGAAATTGAAAGATTCAGGTCTCTCACATACACTCTCTTGCCACGTTGAATCATCCTGGACTCTTGGCTCATCTGAGTCATCCAATTTTTTTTGAGGTCGTTCTAGTCCCAAGGCTTCGAATAATTTAGATTTTACATCACCTCGATTACACGTCACGAATGTGTACAAAAACTTGGGAACTTTTTTAACACTTTTTTTCAACTCCTCTTCGAGCTCCCTCCACGCTTTGTCATTTTTTCCAAGGAATTTTCCAGCAGCACTCATAATTTTATCTCTCTGTGAGAGTATGAAACTGACGATTGCTGGATTATCATATTCTCCAGGCCTTCCCCGTTTTTCACCACTTTTTTCACTCATTTTGATTAATTAAATCGAGAAATTAACGATATAAACTTTGCACTGAACACGTCCAGACCAGTCGTTCGAAAATGACGTCAATTGAACGCCAAAACAATCATTCACTAACGGCTGCTTCTCATCGCCGACGACGACGATACACAATGAACGCCAAAACATGACGGTTTGCGACATTCTCGAAAATTAAATAAAACGGCCCTAATTTGTAATATAGTCGTTGGATTTTTTTTTCTAAATGATGATTCTTCAGGTCATGATATTCCAATAAAAAAAAGAATGAGATTAAAATCCTTTCTGACGCAATGTCGATAAGTGTAAATATCTAGTTCGTTTTCCTTGTCTTGGGAATTTTTATTCCCTAGCGGAGTATGTTACCGATCCGAATCTCGATGGTGAGCGGCGCCTCCTTTGAAATATGTGATTACCATGTCTATGTCACTTTGAAAATTCCACTGACGAAACATGCAATTCAATTTCGCGATATCTGTTGATGAAGTTTCTGTTTTTCATATTCCGAGGCTTCTTGTAGGATATTCACCTATCGAGATGACTTGTAAGTATTTCCAAGAAGAAAATCATTTGAATTTATGGAGGAAAAATGTGACCCCCAATCAACTGATCATCGAGCTGATCATTCTTATCAACTCGCTGGTAGAATCTATTAGGGCAGCCTCAAAAATACAACTTATGGTATATTTATTGAAAATTTTGATTTTCCTTATAAAAATGCTCTAGCCACTTTTTGGTCCGCAATATTCTTTATTGTTTATGTCCTTAGAGCATATAAAGTGTACTAAAAGATGGTATAGTCAATGGAATGAACAGTGGGTGTTAGCCATATCGCCAGTGGATCATCAATTCATTGCTGTACGTTAAGAGTAAAAAAAACTAAAGGCATGGAATTCTGAGCACATAATGAGCACATAATTCTCAAGAAAGTAGAAATTGTTTTCTGAATAAAAAAAACAAATATCATTTCTTGTCCATCTATGACTTTCATTATTCAGAATCATTTTCCCTAAATCCCAGTGAAGTACTCAAAATTAAAATAGCACATAAAAAGCACAAAAATATGGTGCATTGAAAATAATTATTGATCTATCCTGGATAGATGTTCTGCTAACTTACAGTTAAGACAGCGGAACCTTACGGATACGGCTTAAGGACGCGAGTACAAAAATTTTCGAAAGGGGCCAAAATTAGTTCATAAAGAGCACATTATTTTCCCTATGAAAAAAAAATTAACACTTCATTTCTACTCTCACATCGAAATTCATTTTAATTATTCAGAATGATTTTTTCGAAATCTAAGTTAGGTATTCAGAAAGCACATAAAAAGCACAAAAATATCGTGAATTGAAATTAATTCTTTCTCCAACCCGAATCGATGTTCCGCTAATTTACAGTTAAGATAACGAAACCTCACTGACACGGCTTAAGGACGCGAATACAAAAATTTTCGAAAGGGGCCAAAAGTAGCCCATAACGAGCACATTATTGTCCGCATAAAAAGAAATGATTCCAACATACTTGTTCTGCCAGGTTGATGGAGCTGACATGGTATTTCGACGGACTGAGGATTAGATAAATTGTTAAAATTTTTTGCGCGGTATTTACCTTTTTGTCGTCCATTCCGGGCATCGAGGTGGTCACCGGTTGGTCGAGCCTGAAATGAAAGAGATAAAGCATTTATTAACTTGTGAGGTAAATTCTTTTGGAAAGTGTTTATTGATTATTGCCCAAACCAATATTAGGATTGATGATTATATAATCGTCGAAGATACTTTGTTTGTTATTCTCTTAATGTTATAATTTTAGGAATGTGTGATTTTCCGACAAAATGACAACAAACTTTTCTCGTAGATGATATTTCACAAAGTTGTTAAAAATGACGCTCAACTTCATGTTTATGTTTTGCTAATGTTCTTAATTAAATAACTGAATAAATAAACTTATGTGCGTACAACTGAAAATATGCACAATCGCAGGGAAAAAAACCAAAGATATTTTTTGACACTGCTGCTACGTTCACTGATGCCGCAAGACGAGGCGAGATGAGAAACTGCATCTTCTCGTCTCATCTGATTGTCAGGAAAATATTCTCTCGTCGCGTCTCATCTCGTCTCGTTTGTCTCGTCACGTCTCGTTTCTCTCGCGTTTCGCGACATCACTAGCTACGTTCATTTTGTGCCCAAAAGTGCCTTTTGGTTTACTTGCAAATGAAAATCTTTTCGTTTATTTGTAAACGAAAAAGGTATAGTTCGACCACTCGCTGAACGGAACATCACTGTCAAAAAATATTGTTCGACATATGTGAGATGGGAATTTTCAGCTCGTGTGATTGGCAGCTCTCACTGTAAAAATTCCGTCTCACTTGTATCGAAATATACTATTTCTTCATGCTCGTCCGTCCGTCCTTTCTGCTCAAATTTTTGAGTTTACAAAGCTTTTGTCTACAAAATTAAAATTGTTGAATTTTCCTCAAGGAAATATCTCTCTCCATCCTGCTGTCTATCGTGCTTCTTCAAGGTCAGATTAAAACGTTTATTCCCAGCGAAATTTGAGCGTATGAAATCCATGGTTACCGTCAAACATTGACATCAACACTGGCTAACGTCGTTCGCCAGGTTATTACATGTGGCTTTTGTGAATCTATCCTAGCTAAGTTACAACCTCCTTTCAAATACCCATTCTACCAAGCACGCCCGGGAGCACATGCCTCGCCTCAAAAACCGTTTGTAAGAGCAGAGCCTCTAAAAGGACATGTAATGCTTACAGAGATACACGGCCTCTCTCACTCCCTTAATTGAAAAACTCCTGGTATGACTATTTCAAGGAGTTATTTTACTCTTTATTTTACGACTAGACCCTTATGTTCACCTTTCCTCTTTTCTGACTCTTTTTTTTCATTAAATATATTTTCTTTTTTAGCGCTAAGGAACATATAGCTCTAAACGTCCATGGTACAAAAGTTAAGGGAGGAGTCCGTTGGTAAGATTTGAAAGTCTTTAGTAGAGCTGTCCCGAGTAGAAATTGCGTCAGGCGGGCCTGAGATTTCATCAGGTCTTGATATGTCGGTGGTCAGATTTGACTGATCAAGTGGGACTTGATGAGGAGCTGATCAATTCTTGATTTAGTCGATCTAATCCGAAATAATCTGTTCAAGTTCTGATTCGGCAAACCTGATCTGAACCTGAGATCTGTCCGCCTGCAATCACTTTGATCAAGCTCGGATTAGGTGGGCCTGATCTTAAAGTGAGGTCCATTCGCCTGTAATTATTCCGATCAGATTCGCATTAGGTCGACCTGATCTCAAAATGAGCAGTCCGCCTTCAATTGTTCTGATCAAATTTGGATTAGGTGGGCCTGATCTCGAACTGAGGTCCGCTTGCTTGCAATCATTCTGATTAGTTGCTGATGAGGTGGACCCAATCTTGAGTTGAGCCCTCCGCCGGCAATCACTCTGATCAAATTTGGATTAGGTGGCTCTGATCTTAGACTGAGCTCCGTCTGCTTGCAATTATGCGGTTCAGGTATAGGCATGATCTCACCGTGACGCCAGGCTGCATGAAGTCAGTTCGATCGGATTCGGACCGGATCCACCTGATTTCAATTTTAATAACCCTTCTCCAAGAAAGGATTTTGTAAACCAGATGAAAACTGGCGCAAGAATGATTTTAAAGTTAAAAATATGGAAAAGGTTTTTCGCTTATGTATGAGGCAAAATCGATTGAGATCATTTGTTTTTCACTTTTTAACATCACTTCATATACCAACAAGCAAATTCACCCTTCCCCCGCCCCCCCAAAAAAATATTATTTTCATAAAAAATATCACTATTGAGGAAGAGTAATACCTTCTCTCAGTGTCGAACCAGAATTCTTCAGCTAACAAAGTGGGATAAAACGAATCCAGAATGATCTAAGAAATTCCACAATTTAGATATTGAAATAATTCTGGAAAGGAGACTTCGACATAAATTCATCAGAAGACCTCTTTTTTGAAAAATCTCATTAACTTCAACAAATTTTCCTCTAAACCCACCAGGTTGAAAGATACTTGCAAAATGAACTGTATAAAATTTTTCATCTTCTATTCTTTGATCACTTGACTACAGAATTTCAAACGTACAGCTCTGTATTTAAGGGTATGGAGTGGAGAGGGAAGGAGATAAAAGAGGTGTGAACGTAGTGAAGTCGTTAGAATGAACGTGATAAAATTGCAAATGGATTTTCGCCAACGCCGCTCACCCTGCGACTACAAAAACGGAAAATGTGAAACAAAAAAGGGAAATTTTATCCGACGATCGTAACTTTTTTTTTTCGTTTTTACTCCTCGTTAAAATAGGGCGAATGTTTATTAACATTTCGGTGAACTCCATAGAAAAAGAAGTTTCAGATTTCTAGCATCACGGTACTGAAACCCAGAACCATGGTATTGAAATCAAGAACCATTAGGGTCATTCAAATATGGCGTCATGGAATTGAGAAAAGGAGGAGGAAAGGGGTTGCATTAAAATGTGCTTTGTTGATTTGCGAAAGAGATACAATACCCTTATTGCAAAGGGGGGAAACATAAAAAACAGTAAAAGAACATAGTATCACACAGTTGCGCGTAGCGCAAGGTAACAATAGGAAAAACAATAATAAAAAAACGTAAATCCACGCTTATAAAATATAAAAATGTAGATTTCGGAATCAGTCGAAAGTAGCTTAAATTAAGAAGCAAACTAAGTACTTGGAAATAAAAACAAAAATTCAGATAAGTCCTGGTAGCTTGAGGTCGCCCGGTCCAGAGGTGACATTTAAGTATCTCGGTCAGGGGAATTTGTTGTGGGTAAAGGCGAGTCAGTAACACCATTACCTAAATTGTGATGTTACATCATAATTAATAAAGATAATTTGCGGTTCTTGAATTGACAAAGATGTCAGTTTAAGAACGTTCTAGTTTTTATTTCAAAAACCCCAGGGTTCTCCATTTCAGTACACGGAGAAAATTATTTGGTGAATTTTAACAAATAGTTAGTGAATTTCAAGAACTAATTAATTAATTTCAAATTCTCAACAAAATTACGTGCAATTTTAATAAGAAAAAAATTCCAAGGAGTTCACAGGAAATTTCAGCCAAAAATATTTATGTTATCTATAAAAAGCAATCAGCTTGAACCTGTAATTCCATAAATTCAATCAATTTTGATTACCAAACTAGATGGTGAGGGCACAGACATTGGAAACAATCACGTAATCATTTGTATCGTGATAATCGATCAATGTTTCGCCTAGAACGTACCGCAATAAGACGGTTCCGTAGTAATCTACAATTTGTTGTCAAATTTAATTCATCAAAAATATTGACGAATATTTATGGAAAATTTAACAAATGGTTGTCGAATGAAATTGAAAATCATTTTTGGAATTCACCAAATAATTTTCTCCGTGTACCGAACGATTCTTATTTTATTCTTATTTTATTCTTATTTTATTGGAAGCTAGAAACTGTTTTTTTCTGTGTCAGATTTTGTTCAATGAGAAACACTAACCCGTCAGATTTACATTCTTTCCGTTTAGCTTCTAATACATAGTTCGAATACAATTTTGTGATAAATGTCGTAAGGATATAATAAAATAATGGAATAATGGCTTCTCCTGCCCACGTACGAAACGGGAAATGGGCCGGGTTTGGCCCAAGCTCGGCGGCCGTGCTGCCAAGGTTCGGGGACCAGTACTCAGCCACAATCGCGCCAGACTTAGTTGGAGCCTGGAATGATAACATCGGGTCAGGCCTGGCGTCTAACCTTGGCCATACTTCGGTGATCAAACTCTGGTCGTATTCGGAATTGATTCTCGGCCCAAAGTTGGCACAGACTTCCTGCCAGACCTGAACCCATTGTTTCTCCAGGCTCTCCCCGTTCTTCTACCGGGCTTCAATCAATTGATCAATTATTAATTTAAATATAAATCGGAATGAAGCAAACATGAGTGGAAATTAGAACACGTAATTTATTAATGATTAAGCATTTATCAACACAAACATTGCCAGAACCTTAACCTTACATACGAAAATTATACTATAAATTGCAAATTTCAGTTCAGAAATCAGATATAGGAAAATTCACTTATACGAAAATATTCTCTCTTCTCATACAGATTTAGCCAATTCGATTGGATAATACAACGGATCTACATTTATTCTTTTCAAGGATAATCTTGGGAATAATTTTTCCTCCTTGAGCTAACTACAAATGCAGTTTAACAATGTTGACGACGAACTTGTTATTTATCGTTATTTTCTGTGCCATTCACTATTTATTATTCTTTTATAATAACTTCTATTGTAATTATCATTATAACAGTAGCATATAGTGAATTCAACTTGCATACAGTTTTTGGCTCTGAACATAAAGTCATAAAAAATTATTGTCTGGGTTGATTCTATAGTCAAATCGCAATCTAATTATTGCTTCCTCAAATAATCGGAACCCAACTCTCAATCACAGACATGAATTCCACTAGAAACTTCCTTAAAAACTATAAATGTATTCAACTCTCACTCGCATATTTCGTTTAAACTAAAGACAACTCCAGGACATCACTTTTTGTAGAAAAGAAAAATTAAATTCCCTGCATTCTTAGATTCTAGTATTTAAATTCTGTAGTTCTCATGTTC